AAAAAAAAAAAAAAAAAAATTGTTTTTTTTATCAATGAAAAAAATAAAAGACAAGAAAAAAAACAAAAGACAAAAGAAAAACAAACAAAAGACGAAAAACACAAATTGATTTCTAAATGTTTTTGGGTCAGAGCGAACTTTGCACTAGAACACGGTCAGATGCAGGCAGGCCAATATTTGGCGCTCGGTCCGCGAGAAAACATGGCTGTCGTATCTGGCCATGTTCTAGCGGGAAGTTCATTCTCATTTTGCACATTTCGGGGGTGGTGTGGCGATGTCCTCTTTTTGTCCCTCTCTCTCTCTCTCACTCTCGCTCTCTCTGTCTCTCACACACACGGACAGACACACACACACACACACACAGACACAGATAGGGCGAAGTTTGCCTGTCTGTCTGTGTGTGTCAGAGAGAGAGAGATCGAGCAAGAGTGTGTTTGTGTGTGCGCGTGCGTGGGTGTGTCAGAGAGAGAGATCAAGCAAGAGTGTGTTTGTGTGTGCCCGTGCGTGAGTGTGAGAGAGAGTGTGCGGACACGTCTGTATATGTGTGCGCGTGGGTGTGTGGCAGAAGGTGAGTGAGGTCAAGACTCTGCCATCGCCAGTGGCACGAACCGAGACAAGTGTGGGCCGTGTAGCTATGGCGCGCATGTCTCGAAAAAAATAAAAAAGGAAAACAAAAGGGAAAAAAAAGGGAAAAAAAGGAAAAAAATGAAAAAAAAAGGAGGAAGCTTGCCTGTGTCTCTGTGTCCCTCGCTTCCTCCTTTTTTTTCGTCATTCTCTCACACTCTTTTTTTCTCTCTCTGTCTCTCTTTGTATGATTGTCTTTTCTCTCTCTCTCTCTCTCTCTCTCTCTCTCTTTCTGCGTACCAGATATTGAGACAAAGGTGGGGCGTCGATGCAGGTACGGTAGATGCACTCTCTCTCTCTCTCTCTCTCTCTCTCTCTCTCTCTCTCTCTCTCTCTCTCTCTCTCTCTCCCTCTCTCTCTGTGCCTACCAGATACTAAGACAAAGGTGGGGCGTCGATGCAGGTACGACAAATGTTGTTTGTCTGTCTCTCTGTCTCTGTCTGTCTCTCTGTCTCTGTCTGTCTCTCTCTCTCTCTCTCTCTCTCTCTCTCTCTCTCTCTCTCTCTCTCTCTCTCTGTTTCTCTCTCTTTGTCTCTCTGTG